ACGGTGAGAGAGTCAGTGAGGATTGCCGGGACGCCATGGCCTCTCACTCATTGCTGTGCTGTGCTGTGCTGTGGTGCTGTGTGTTCAGGAAGGGGACATTGTGGTGCATTTGGACGAGGAGACCCTCCTGACGCACAGCTGTGTGGCGGGCATCGAAGAGTTCGTCAGGGCCGATGCGTCGCGAGTGGGCAGCGGCACCATTGCCTACGGGCAGGACGTCATCGTCAACCCATGGCTGACCATGGCCGACAGCCTCCGAGTCACCGACGACTACTGCAAAATGCGACTCTTCTTCTCCTCCTTCAAACCCCTCATCGGCATGAAAGGTGACAGCAGAGCAGACACACACACGGCTTCTCAGCTGACTGACCCCCTGCCCTGCACACCACACACACGGATCTGTCTGTCTGTCTGCTTTTTGGTCCACAGGCTCGTTTGTGGTCTGCCCCGTGGCCGTCGAGCGGCGCGTGACGTGGGACCACGGCCGCGACGGGTCGATCACCGAGGACACGACCTTTGCCCTCAAGGCGGTGGGCGAGGGCGTGCGGTTCGGGTGGGTCAAGGGCGTCATGCGGGAGAAGAGCCCCTTCGGCATCGTTGACTTCATGAAGCAGCGGCGGCGGTGGTTCCAGGGGCTCTGGCGGGACGCCGTCAAGAAGGAGCTCAAGCTGCACACACGACTGAGTAAGCACAGCACACAGACACACAGACAAAGATAAGGAGGAAAGAGCTCATTCCTCTCTCTCTGTGTTTGGTTCGTTCAGTGTTGGGTTACTGTCTGGCGATGTGGTCGTTCATTCCGCTGTGGAATCTGCTGATGCTGCTCGAGCTCACCTGCGAGCATGGGCTGGGCCACCCCATCCCCTACCCCGCGACGCCCCTCCTCATGGCCATCAAGACCACCTGGATGGTCAGCCCAGCCAGCACACACACACAAGTGCTCAGGCAGGCCGTGTGTGGTGTGGATTTGCCGGTGTGGTGCCTTGATTGGTTTAATTACTTGTGCAGACGGCCTTTGTGTGGGGCTACCTGTTCGGTGCCATGATGAACTTCTCGCCTGCGCAGCCCTTCTCGTACCTGCTGTACGTCGCTGCCACAGTGCCGCTGATGCCCTTGTGGGCCGTGTGTGAGGGCCTGGCGGTGCTCTACGCCATGCTGACCAAGACGGCCGGCTTCCACATCGTGCAAAAGGAGCACCCCGGGATCGCCGCTGTCGCCCAGCCCGCCGACCACCCCAGCACGTCGATGTGCGTCAAGAGGGACTCTGTGGGCGGCAGCGAGACGGCCGCCCTCATCCCCAAGACCACCAGTGCCCAGCAGTGCCTGCCAGTGGCCCGTCATTGCCTTGCGGTGCCAGTGGCCCGTCTGAGCCCCGAGCAGCGGAGCGACACGTCCCCCGTCCTCAGCAGTGTGTCGTCCGACCCCATCGGCCGCCGCAGAGCTGAGAGCTTCGACCTCGACGCGCTCATCGACACGACGTCATGCTCGAGCGACAACAATGATGCAGAGGGCGACGGGGAGGGGTCGACCAGCAACGGGGAGGGCAGCGATAAGTAAGGAAATGAGAGAGACTGAGGCCGGCTGGCTGAGTGGGTGTGTGTGTCTGCTGGCAGCTGGGCCATGTGTCAGTCAGTGTATAGCTGTGCGTTTGTGTGAAGGGGCGAGGGCGAGGGGGGAGAGAGGGAGACAGCTTAGGCAGCCTGGCCGTGGGGCAAGATGTAGCAGAGGGGGGCGGTGCGGTGACTGCGGCGCAGGCGAGTCGGCCGACAGGTTTTGTGTTCATCCCATCCACGTGTTGGTTTGTCGCCTGCCGGCCCTTTTTGCCACGATCAGTCTTTTTGTTTGGGGGGTGCGTGTGTGTGTGTGTGTGTGACGTTGTGGACGGAATGCCGGCGGCCAGTCGTGTTGAGCCTTCCCTGACCGACTTTGTCCATACCGACCGACTGACTTACCGAGTTAGCTGGCTGCCGTCCTGCCGTTCACTCACTCCCCGTTCGCCTGGCCTGCCCTTCTCTCTCTGTCTGGCCGGCTGTGCATACAAACATCTACTGGCAATGACCCCCCCCCCTCCGTCTGTCTGTCTGTTTGTCTATAACTCACGCGAGAGCCAACCGATTCTTTGTCAACCGATACAAAGGGTACACGGTGTTTTTCTGCGAGTGCGTGTGTGTCGATACGGACGTGTGAGCTGGTCGGTGGAAATGCCCTCCCCTGCCTGCTGTATGCCTGTACCATGATGGTGTACCTGTACACGTCTGTCTGTCTGTCTGTGGGGAGCGGTATTTGTCAGTGCATCAGAGAATGCACTTGTGCCTTTCTACAGCTCCTGCTTGGCTTGGCGCTTTCGAGCTTTTTTTTGACTCATTCATCGACACTTGACGTCCATGCTTGCGAATAACGCGCAGATGCATGACATGAAGTCACGAGTCAAGTGTGCACCCCGGTCAGAGCGACAAACCGCATCATCCATCCAGAGTGCACAAACCATTCTGTCTGCATTCGACAGACGCGAAGGCACAATTTGTTGCTATCCACAGTGAGCCTATCACCCAGCACAGTACCGGATTGCACACACAAGGAGCGTAGTCAGCTAAACGAGTCGATATCTGCTCTGCAAGCTGGCCGACAGCGCCCCCAGCTTGAGCGTCGGCAGCGATGCGACGTGACTCATCCCCGCCCCCGCCCCTTCTGCTGCGTGTTCTCTCTCCATCCTAACCTCCTCTCTCGGCGGAAATGTCTCCTCTGGTGCGTGAGACGGGCGGGGCAGCCCATAACGCACCGGGCTGCACACATAAACGCCACGTATGAAGGCGAAGACAGGCATGTTGCAATCCGTATCGCTTTCTCCGTGTCCGTCGGTATTCTCACGTCGAGGGGAAGATACGGCTGCGGCGGCCCTTGAGTGAGAGGTCCACGACGAATGTCTCAGGCACAGGGGGCGACGACGGTGGCGTGAGGGCATCGTCCACTGCCCTTGGGGGGTGGTCCTCCGCCCCGTCCTGTGTCGACTGCAGGGCGTCCCTCAGCGTCCCCTGGAAGCCCTTGCTTCCTCCTTGTGTCTCATCGCCTTCCCGTCGGCCCACGCTGGTCTTCCTGGCACGCCACCCGGCAGCCCTCGACCGCCGGTAGCGTGTCTGGGGCGAGGAGTCCGAGAGTTCTTCGCCCGAGCTGCCGGACCACGTGTACCCCGCCCCTGCCACAGGCGACCACTCCTCGCTGTCTTCCTCCATATCAAGTGTGAGCGTCATGGGCTTCAGAGGCCGGCGTCGCGGCTTACGACGAGAAGGTTTTCTGGCCGGCTTCGGTGATGGCCCACTCTCCTCTCGGCGCGTGTCGACTGCGAGGGTCTGATATTCATCCTGTCTCGTCTCGGCTTCTTTTTTGATGCCTCTCAGCAGCACTTGTAAGGCGTCTTCCATCCCCACTTCCCCATCGTCAAACTGAACCGGCTTCCGTGCAGCCCTCGCCCTTTGCCGCCTCCTGTTCTTGCTGATGAGCTTCACAGGCCGGGGCTCAATCTCCATCTCGTCTGCGCCCTCCACGTGTCTCGCCTGCGTCTGCCCCACACCGCCGACCACAGGCAGGTCGGAATCACTGCCCGAGCCCTCTGCGCCCTTCTTCGCCTTGGCTGCTTTGCCGAGCGCACCCACTGACCGCGCAGATGGCGGCCCAGGACGAGCGGGGGGGCTCTCGTCGGCCAGCTGGGACATCATCTGCGGCGAGGGGGCTGCCGAGGGCATGATGCCTTGCATGGAAGGGGGGTTGAGCAGCTGCACGCTTCTGGGGTGCATGCCACCCCACCGTAGAGGCGTCCCCGACTTCCAGCTGGCGTCGCTCGTCAAGACCACGCTGCCGCTCTTCTGCTCGGGCGGCACTGCAGAGGGCGCCAGGAAGGACTCCACCTGGGGGCTGATTCTGGTGGCTCCAGTGGCCCCATCGCTCTCTGTGACAGCCACCACAGATACCGATGGCCAGTCCTCCAAAGCCAGCGGGCGAGACTCGTCACGAAGAATCGACGGCTCAGCTGGTATGATCTCCGGCCCTGCCTGGGGTTGCGCAGGTAGTTCTGGCCGACGTGGTCTCTTTGCCTCTGTGACCGCTGGTAGGGAAGCTGTCGCCTCGAGCAGCTCCCGTGATCGGCCTTGCACAAGAAGCTGAACAGGCTTTCTTGTGGGAGACGTGACTGGACGGCTGGTCGTCCGCGGCAGGGACATTTGCGTCAGGAAGAGGCCGCCATCGCCCTCATCGGCGGAGGAGTCCTCTGCTGCTGCTGCTTCCTCTCCCTCCTCGTATTCCGCCCTGGCGGCTGCCGCTGCGGCTGCTGCAGCCTCCTCTAGCGCCAGGGCCTCTTGCAAGAGGATGGACTCCGTACGGTCGGTGGCCGCTTCCTGCGATCTGCCGTATAGCGAGCTCAGCGGCTGCGGGACCTCCCTCAACCTCGGCGCCGGCATGACCCTGGCCGCCTCAGACCTCTCCCGGCTCCTTATCGGTCTCTCTGCGATAAGTGTTTCCTCTTCCTTGCGATCGACTGACGGTCTGTCCTCGAAGAGCTTGTCGAGGTTCTTCAGTCCTCCCAGGTCAGACCGCCGCCTCTCTTCCAGCCGGACGGACATCCCCAGCACGCCCTCCCCCGCCGCCACTGCCTTCTTGTCCTCCTGCTCCCCCAGTATCGTTCCCAATGTAGCCCGTCTTGCGACCTTCGACCCGGGCAGCTGTGTTGGGCTGACGGGAGGCAGATCGGCCGCAATCACCTTTTGCGACAGACCCGGCTTGGCCCGTCCGCTTTCATAGTCGAGCAACGGCTGCAGCAGGGACTTGCCCCTCTGCAAGTCCCGTTTCTGAGGTGATCTGTCCGGCGACTGGAGCGAAGGAGGTCTTTGCCTTCTCTCGCCAAAGGACAGCTGCTGCACGAACTCAGGGATACGGGCCTCACCAGCGACCTCCAGTGATGTCTCCTCTGCCTCAGGGGCCACTGGGACGGCTGCTGCTGAAGGGGAAGGTGGTTCGCCAGGTAGAATCGCAGAACGGTCCTGGGTCGCACTGAAGTCGTCAAATCCGACTCGACGTCGCTCACGGGAGTCTAGCCGCTCAGGCCTGGATAATTCACCAGGCATTTGATCGGCAGCAAACCTCAGCTCTGCCTCTGATCGTGACCGTCGACGCAGCCGGCGGTCTTCCTTGTCCGTGTCCACAAGATCCACAGGCAGCCCCTCCCGCGTCCCTTGTCTCACTGCTGACCTTAGGGTGCCGTCGTAGCCGCCCCGCAGCGTACCTTGGTACACTCGAGCCTCCACATCGCCGCCCAATATCTTCCCATCTTCCTTCTTGACTTGCCGTGCGCTTGCCAGAATGCTCGTTCGGGACTTGCGCACCGGTGTCCTTGCAAGGCGGTCCAGAGGTGACATAACCTCCTGCTCTGAGGTATCCACCGTCCCTTTGAACTCCACCCGTGACCGTCCTGCCCTCAGGCTGGGTCGAGGTATCCGCTGCTCCGACTCAGGTGAGAGTGTGTCCACCGCACTCCGGGGGGAAGTCACGTCGCTGCGAGCTGATGGAAGCCGTTGCGGTGCTGCAGGCGTGCTCCGCAACGACGGTGTGCCAATGTGTGCAGGCACCGACACGCTGAGAAGGTCGCCCGATATGTCCGTCTGGACTCCCTTGCTGCGGACCGACACGGGACGAGGGGGCACAGGCAGAGCTACCGGTACGGCAGGTGGCGCGAGACGCACGACTCGACTCCCAGAAGGGGTCTCTCGCCGCACACGGCCGCCTTGGGGAGTAGGCAGCTGCTCAGTCGCCTCTGGTTGGACAAAGGCCGTGCCACCCGTTGGAGATCGACTGCAAGAAGGAGACGAGACACTCTTAATCTCGATGCCAGATGAGTACAATGATGCTCACCTCACCCTCTTATTTCGAATAGGTGGCCGCTGGGCGGCGACTCCGGCCTGGTCCCAACCGTCAGCATCGACGTCCGAGACCTTTTCATGGCTTTGCTGACATCTGCTGGAGATGCCGGCTGAGTGCGGGCGGTTGCCGGGGGACTCACGAGGCCCTGGAAGGAATCCATTACACAGGAGGTGATGGCATTCGTTCGTCATGTCCACTCCGTCAATGACTCACTATTGTCACGGTTTCCGCTGGTGGTCCCGTCGGCGTGAGGGGGCGGCTGCCCGGCATGGATGCAGGCAGTGACCTGCTGGCAAGCTCTCCGGGAGAGACTGGAGGTGCCAGTGTCTCGGGGCTGAGCGGCCGCTTGGGGCTTCTGCGGGCACTTGGAGAGAACAAATCCTCGAAATCTCCCGTCCTTCGGCCACTTGGAGACACGATCGCACCTGTGGCACAGCCAAGACAGACGTGCATTCAGTAGATGCCGGCTTGCACCCGAGGCTTCACCCGATGGTTGCGATCGAAGCATGGAACCTCCTCCCATGAAGGTCGTTGTTGCTCGGTAGAGTGACGGTCTACCCTCCTCACCCTCTGCTTCGCCGAGTGCTGTGGATGAGCCGAATTCGCCGGAGAGCATGCGCATGACACCGGGAGTCGACGGAGAATACAGAGGCCGATCGTCACTCCAGTCGTTCTGCCGTGCGGCGACAGTCACCAAGACCGCCAATTCATTACTACTTTACTTTGTTGCGCTTACCACTCGGTCCGGCCTGCTGGTGAGGTCGGCCTGCTTGAGCCATTTGTAGAAAGCAATTGCGATGAGCGATCGTGCTGTGGCGTCCGCGTGGAGAGTCTCGTCCATCCCACATTTCTCCGCCCGTCGGATGAGCCGCTTCTCCACCGACACCAGTCCCAGCTGCAGGCGAAACTCGGCTGGGTTGCGATATGTCAGGCCCACGGGGCGGCCACCAGCCTTCCTCTTAGCCTGTGCATGAGTAGCACACGTCAATAAGTATATGGCAGGAGGGGCTGTGTTCCGTGTCGGTCAGCATTCATAGCTCACGAGAAACTTGGTGAGGCGAAACAGGTGCGATCGCATAAGTCTGCAAGGGCACGAGAGACCAGGCAAGCAGATGTCTCTCCACTGGTTGGCTGCCTGCCGGCGATCTCACTGGTTGGCTGCCTGCCGGCGATCTCACCTCTTGAAGACATCGGCTTGCATGAGGGCCTCCATCCGCAGACGCATCAGCTCCTCAATGTCCATGCCCTGCAGCTCCTCTGCGCTCATGTGTGTGAAAAGCAAACAGGCGAATGGGATAAAGCTTTATGGCAATCGAGTCGCACTTCTTACCGGGGCTAAACCTGAAGCGTTTTCTTTCTGTGCCGTCTGGTCGCCGCAGCATTCCGGCTTTTGCCGCCAGCTCCTGCTCTTCGGCAGCCGCTTCTCGCTCCCGTAGCCTCCGCTCATCGACGGCAGTGAGAGACCGATCCAGCCTTGCCCCGACTGTTCGGCGGCGCTTCTCCGCCTCCCTGAAGGCTTCGAGGCCTTCTATGTCGCGATCGCGATCGGCTGATGTCTCCCGCAGGTCGGCCTCCCTCCGTTCCAGGGACATCTGCACGAAAGCAGTATCAAGATTATTCTCTCGCCTGATAGTGGTGCATTCTCCTGACCTCCATAACACGCAGACGCGCCAACTCGTTATCGGCTTCGAGACCCTTCCTGAGCAGCTCCTCGATCTCTTTAGCACTCTTGCTGCGATCAGAGGAGAGGCAGTGCTGCTCGCTGCCTGACAGTGTAAGAGTCTGAGAGTCCTTCCATACCCCTCTAGTCCGAGCTTCTTCGCTAGCGCTCTACTGAGACCGGCCATCCCACCCTTCCCGAAGTCTTGCGGGCTGCATGACCAACAGGATAGTTGTCATTTTCCGCTTATCATCGATTGGACATATCGCGCTCACGCAATCTTCATCATTGTCGCATTGGCCTTCTCAAATGTGCTGTGCAGGTCAACAAAGTTCCTCTGGCGGAAAGCCAAATTGGTTGTCTGACACAGCACAGCACAGTTCCGAAAAACAAGAAACTTGCCAATAGTCGAGTCGGGCCGTCAGTGGCTTCTCACGTCTCTCAAGCTGTACGCCTCCCACCCTGGCAGGCTTCCTAGCGGCGGCAGGGCCTCCAGTGGCGGCAGCTCCACTAAACTCTGGAGGGCGTCGGGCAGATCGGATGCGTCCCCGCCTGCCGCCAGGTACTTGAGAATGAGGTTCTCCTTGCGCGTGACCTCAACCGTCGACTGCAGCTCGGTGATGGTATCGTAGGCATAGCCAAGCTGACAAAGAGAGAGGACGCGGATGGACCGTGTGTCGTCGAAGGCGTGTATCGAGATGCTCGTGTCTCACGTCATCTTGGAGGTTCTCATATGCTGTCTCCAGGGCCTTGGTGTTGGCCGTCAGAAGGTCCGTCTTGCCCGCCTTGAGAAGCAGATTCTCCTCTATCACTGTCTGCCGCAAAGAAGACCGATCGACAGTCACGACCATCATTCTTTGGTGTGCCTCCACATCTGCCTCTGTACCTGCAGTGCGGATTCCAGTCTTTGCATTCTGACGGCCATGGCCCTCTTGTGCGCCAAGAGCTCTTGCTCCATCTTGGCCCGCAGTTCTTCCACTGCTGCAAAGTACTCTACGGGCGTCTCGCCTCCAATGGGCGCTCCTCTGCATTTGTACACTCAGAGAAAAACCGATACGATTCGCCATCGATTAGCCATTTGCTCCGCCATCGTTTGCCTTACGGGGTGGCCCGCAGCTGCTGCTGTCTCGTTTCGAGCACCTCCTTCTCAAGCTGTGTCCGTAAGAGGGAACTAGATGCGCAGAGGGGTTCGTTGGTGTCTCTTTGGCGATCAAGTCCCACCTTGATCATGTTGACTTCCATCGTCCTGAGTTTGCGTTCCCTCTCGTCGACCTCCTTCTTTAGCAGAGTGACCAGCTTTTGCAGCCGGTCGACCTCGCCCTGCAACTCAGCCTTCATCCGCTCTTGCTGCAGCTGAAACTCCGCATCGCTTACGTCCTCCACATCCTCAATCCCTGACACACCGCGACACACGCCGAAGGACATGTAAGTAAGAATGAAGCAGAACTCTTCAACGAGACACCCGACCTGCGTAGAAGTGCACCTTGACCCCTTCTTGTGTGTACATCCGGATCAAGTTCATCAGGTGGCTCAGCTCCAGGAGATACTGCCGCCGCAGCTTCCTTATCTGCAGACGAAGCTCATCGATCCGCCCCTCCTGCCTATCGATGACGCCCATCTGCTCCTCAAACACGGTCAACACCACCTGGTAGTCGCTGTAACAGAATGACGGAGCGGCAGGCTCTGTCCCTCTTGCATAGCCATGCCCCCCGTCAGTGTTGCGAGCAGGGACTGACGCAGAGGACATCAGCTCTGGCATGGAGATCCGGCGGGCGCTGATGGCGTCGGTCGAGGTCTCTGCTTGGGTGAGAGGGAGAGGGGCAGGCACAGCAACAGGGGCAGGAGCAGGGGGCGGAGGGGCTTCCGACGGCATCGAACTAAGGAGTTGGCTGGCTGTCGATGTAGTCGCCGCCACGTCTTGCACTGCCCAAGCATGCCACTCCCTCAAATCACTCGAGAAGCGCGCCAAAGGCTGCAAGAGGTGTTCGAACACTGTCATGAAGTTGTCCTTCATCGCCCGCCAGTCATAAGGGTTGCGTGTCCACAGGTAGCGCTGCTTCTTGAAGAGCCGGGTGACCTCACGATGGAAGGTCTGCCTGAGAAGGTCGAAGCACCGCAGATGGTTCCTGCGGAGCTGCGTGCGGAAGTTGATGACCGCTGCGTTGTCCTTGGCCGCCTGCCGCCTGGACTTTCTGCTGTTGAGGATGACTCTGGCATCGGTCTTCCTGCTGGAGGGAAGGGGGCGGATGGATGTCATTTGGAGGGTCGATCGCAGAAAGGTGGATCAGTCACTCTGCAGTCTCCATGCAGTACTCCAGTCGGTGTGTCGGCTGCTTTCTCTCGAGGGCCGGGGGGGGCTTAGCGAGCTGGGAAGCTGATGGTCGAAGGGAGGCCTGAAGCAGGCTGTGGAACGAAGAGCTTGTCAACATTCCTTGGCCACCGATTCTCTGCGTTTGCTTCTGGCATTTTCTTGCGAGCCGAGGATCGCCGCCGTGCAAGCTTAGCCTTGCGAATCTGGTGCGTGTGATGGGCAATTGGAAGGTGGCGTCGGGCCGTTCCAAGAACTTCTTTCGAGTAGTGTGCGGCGGCTGCAGATATGAGACGACGACCGACGGCGCGGCGCAGCTCATCGTGCAGAAGCACTTCCCGCAGATGATGCGGGAAAACTACACGGGCACCGCCCCGTTTGTGGCCGCACGCTTCTGCGAAACCGTCAAGATCTTTGACAGAGCGCCCTCCTGGAAACAGGCGAGTGAATGCCACAAAGTAATTGAGCAATGCGCCAGGATGCCGTTGGTCTTTTCTTTCTGTTGTATGGTTCAGCGAGTGGGTCAGCTCTATGGCATGAAGCCGCCTGCACTGGATTTCGTTCGGAAGCTGAATGGCGGCAAGATCCCCTGCCCCAAGTGTGGCGCTGTGGGGCAGTGGAAGGGCAACGCCGATACAGAGATGAGGACAGACATCCCAAGATAGATTGATGATAGCTGAACCGGTCGACGGTCGTGTCGTGCAATCAAATGATCTGGACAATGTGTAGTGTACAGAATGCATGAAGGGACACGCCCGCCCGTCTATCATCTGGCCACACAGGACTGATATGCAGCACGTTACGGGTCATCATCCACTCACTCGACGTTTTTCGAGTTTTCATGTGAGCCATACGTACACGCAGCCACCAACTCACTGCACAGGAGGGGAAATGAAAAACGGGATCCGACTGAAGGAAGGAAACATCGACACCGACGGCACTCGACGGCCGTCACGACAAATAAATGTGTGCATCCAGACAGCCATGTCACAGCTCTATGTACGCAGCTACACGTACAAAAAAACACCATCAGAACGTCATGTACCCTTTGTATCGGTTGACAAAGAATCGGTTGGCTCTCGTGAGGTATAGACAGACAGACAGACAGACAGACAGAGGGGGTCGGTGGATAAGGCGGGGTACCCGAGCCATTGCCAGTAGATGTTTGTATGCACAGACAGACAGAGAGAGAAGGGCGGGCCAGGCGAACGGGGAGTGAGTGAACGGCAGGACGGCAGCCAGCTAACTCGGTAAGTCAGTCGGTCGGTATGGACAAAGTCGGTCAGGGAAGGCTCAACACGACTGGCCGCCGGCATTCCGTCCACAACGTCACACACACGCACACACACACACACCCCAAACAAAAAGACTGATCGTGGCAAAAAGGGCCGGCAGGCGACAAACCAACAGGTGGATGGGATGAACACAAAACTTGTCGGCCGACTCACCTGCGCCCCACTCACCGCAGCGGCGCCCTCAGCTACATCTTGCCCCACGGCTGGGCTGCCTAAGCTGTCTCCCTCTCTCCCCCCTCTCCCTCGTCCCTTCACACAAACGCACAGCTATACACTGACTGACACATGGCCCAGCTGCCAGCAGACACACACACTCAGCCAGCTGAGCCTCAGCCTCTCTCATTTCCTTACTTATCGCTGCCCTCCCCGTTGCTGGTCGACCCCTCCC